GAGGAGAACACTGGCTTCCTGGACCTCTATGGTCAGCTTCACCTGCGGCTCTGTGAGGGTGACGGCTCGTGCTGGCAGTGGCTTCAGACACCCTTAGTTCTGCCATTGGGTCATCTGGTCAGACACCTCAGGCCCTGAAAACCGGGGACAGTGTGCTTTCCAGTGATTCCCTTGGCACAGCGGGCATGGACAAGCTGGTGGTTTATTCCTTTGATGACAGTTTCTTGTAAAATGTCCCTTTAGACCGCACTGGTAACAAGCTTTGCCAGACTGGCGGCTAACCCGAGCCTTTTCCTTATTTGAACCCCTGGGGTCTGCTTGCCTAAAAGCCATGACTAGGGCAGCAGCCTTTCTTTGATGACTGTTCTTTTTAGCCTGTTTCTCCTGGTTTCTATTATAAAACACCAAGGTTGCCTGATTTAGTAATGATTTTAGGCTCTGTTCTGGCCTTGAGGCCAGTTTCCGCCAGTTTCTGGAGCTCTCACCTGATACTTGTTGCTGATTGAGTAATAAACTTGTTCTTTAGTATTAACCGACCCTTAATGGAGTCTGGCGACAAGGAGGTGAACTGTTTTAAGGCCTTCCCCAATTGCTTAAGGAAAGATGTTGGGGTATTTTTTCTGCTCTTTGGGGGTTAGGTTTTCCACTTAGCAGGGGGTAATTTGGCCACGCTGTCTGGCCGTGAAAAATGAGCGTTGTTTTTTTTTAAAGACTGTGTGTTAAATTGGTTTTAATTTTCCAGTATACACCTTAATGGGGACTGGAGCTTGGGAAGACTGGCACTCATCTGAAATTGAATACAAAGAATGCCAGCATTCCCAGTAAAAGAAATTACAGCCGCTTCAACCTAAGGCGTTTCTTAGGTAAAACAGGCACTGAAATGAAACGTTTTTCAGTCAGAACCCGGCATTTTGTGTGCCCAGTATGCGTGATTTACTTTATTAGAGGGCTGTCTGCGTACTGGGTTTTAGTTGGGACCTACCAGCATGATAGGACCCAGGCTCACCATCTGCATGACCTCCAGGGACCACTATACAGGCATGAAGGGACGCTTGGGTTGAGTGGTTCCTGCCAAGGGGTCCTTGAACCAGGCCAGTGAGGCTCAGGAGCTGGGTACCAATGTTCCCCAGCCAAAGCCCAATTCACATGGGCCGATTTATAAAACCGCCACAGAAGGGTAAACTTCTAGGAAGGGGCCATTAGAGCACACACTTTAAAGAAGGCCGGCCTCGTGGCTGAGGACAGAACAATACCCTCAGGACCCGGCCTCCTCTCCCCTAACCCACCTTCCCTTGTAGGAAAATGTCCTTAAGGACCCTCAGGACCCGGCCTCCTCTCCCCTAACCCGTCTTCCCTTGTAGGTAAGTGCCCTTAAGGACCCTCAGGACCCGGGCCTCCTCTCCCCTAACCCACCTTCCCTTGTAGGAAAATGCCCTTAAGGACCCTCAGGACCCGGGCCTCCTCTCCCCTAACCCACCTTCCCTTGTAGGAAAATGCCCTTAAGGACCCTCAGGACCCGGGCCTCGTCTCCCCTAACCCACCTTCCCTTGTAGGAAAATGCCCTTAAGGACCCTCAGGACCCGGGCCTCCTCTCCCCTAACCCATCTCCCCTTGCAGTGCCCTTAAGGACCCTCAGGACCCGGGCCTCCTCTCCCCTAACCCATCTCCCCTTGCAGTGCCCTTAAGGACCCTCAGGACCCGGGCCTCCTCTCCCCTAACCCATCTCCCCTTGCAGTGCCCTTAAGGACCCTCAGGACCCGGCCTCCTCTCCCCTAACCCACCTTCCCTTGTAGGAAAATGTCCTTAAGGACCCTCAGGACCCCGGTCTCCTCTTCCCTAACCCGTCTTCCCTTGTAGGAAAATGTCCTTAAGGATCCTCAGGACCCGGGCCTCCTCTCCCCTAACCCGTCTTCCCTTGCAGGAAAATGCCCTTAAGGACCCTCAGGACCCGGGCCTCCTCTCCCCTAACCCACCTTCCCTTGTAGGAAAATGCCCTTAAGGACCCTCAGGACCCGGGCCTCCTCTCCCCTAACCCACCTTCCCTTGTAGGAAAATGTCCTTAAGGACCCTCAGGACCCCGGTCTCCTCTCCCCTAACCCGTCTTCCCTTGTAGGTAAGTGCCCTTAAGGACCCTCAGGACCCGGGCCTCGTCTCCCCTAACCCACCTTCCCTTGTAGGAAAATGCCCTTAAGGACCCTCAGGACCCGGCCTCCTCTCCCCTAACCCACCTTCCCTTGTAGGAAAATGTCCTTAAGGACCCTCAGGACCCCGGTCTCCTCTCCCCTAACCCGTCTTCCCTTGTAGGTAAGTGCCCTTAAGGACCCTCAGGACCCGGCCTCCTCTCCCCTAACCCACCTTCCCTTGTAGGAAAATGTCCTTAAGGACCCTCAGGACCCGGCCTCCTCTCCCCTAACCCACCTTCCCTTGTAGGAAAATGCCCTTAAGGACCCTCAGGACCCCGGTCTCCTCTCCCCTAACCCGTCTTCCCTTGTAGGAAAATGTCCTTAAGGACCCTCAGGACCCGGGCCTCCTCTCCCCTAACCCGTCTTCCCTTGCAGGAAAATGCCCTTAAGGACCCTCAGGACCCGGCCTCCTCTCCCCTAACCCATCTCCCCTTGCAGTGCCCTTAAGGACCCTCAGGACCCGGCCTCCTCTCCCCTAACCCACCTTCCCTTGTAGGAAAATGTCCTTAAGGACCCTCAGGACCCCGGTCTCCTCTCCCCTAACCCACCTTCCCTTGTAGGAAAATGCCCTTAAGGACCCTCAGGACCCCGGTCTCCTCTCCCCTAACCCGTCTTCCCTTGTAGGAAAATGTCCTTAAGGACCCTCAGGACCCGGCCTCCTCTCCCCTAACCCACCTTCCCTTGTAGGAAAATGTCCTTAAGGACCCTCAGGACCCCGGTCTCCTCTCCCCTAACCCACCTTCCCTTGCAGGAAAATGCCCTTAAGGACCCTCAGGACCCAGGCCTCCTCTCCCCTAACCCACCTTCCATTGTAGGAAAATGCCCTTAAGGACCCTCAGGACCCGGGCCTCCTCTCCCCTAACCCACCTTCCCTTGTAGGAAAATGCGCTTAAGGACCCTCAGGACCCCGGTCTCCTCTCCCCTAACCCGTCTTCCCTTGTAGGAAAATGTCCTTAAGGATCCTCAGGACCCGGGCCTCCTCTCCCCTAACCCGTCTTCCCTTGCAGGAAAATGCCCTTAAGGACCCTCAGGACCCGGGTCTCCTCTCCCCTAACCTGTCTTCCCTTGTAGGAAAATGTCCTTAAGGATCCTCAGGACCCGGGCCTCGTCTCCCCTAACCCACCTTCCCTTGTAGGAAAATGCCCTTAAGGACCCTCAGGACCCGGGTCTCCTCTCCCCTAACCCGTCTTCCCTTGTAGGAAAATGTCCTTAAGGACCCTCAGGACCCGGGCCTCCTCTCCCCTAACCCACCTTCCCTTGTAGGAAAATGCCCTTAAGGACCCTCAGGACCCCGGTCTCCTCTCCCCTAACCCGTCTTCCCTTGTAGGAAAATGTCCTTAAGGATCCTCAGGACCCGGGCCTCCTCTCCCCTAACCCGTCTTCCCTTGCAGGAAAATGCCCTTAAGGACCCTCAGGACCCGGGTCTCCTCTCCCCTAACCCGTCTTCCCTTGTAGGAAAATGCCCTTAAGGACCCTCAGGACCCGGGCCTCCTCTCCCCTAACCCACCTTCCCTTGCAGGAAAATGTCCTTAAGGATCCTCAGGACCCGGGCCTCGTCTCCCCTAACCCACCTTCCCTTGTAGGAAAATGCCCTTAAGGACCCTCAGGACCCGGGCCTCCTCTCCCCTAACCCACCTTCCCTTGCAGGAAAATGCCCTTAAGGACCCTCAGGACCCAGGCCTCCTCTCCCCTAACCCACCTTCCCTTGTAGGAAAATGCCCTTAAGGACCCTCAGGACCCGGCCTCCTCTCCCCTAACCCACCTTCCCTTGCAGGAAAATGCCCTTAAGGACCCTCAGGACCCGGCCTCCTCTCCCCTAACCCCCCTTCCCTTGTAGGAAAATGTCCTTAAGGACCCTCAGGACCCGGCCTCCTCTCCCCTAACCCGTCTTCCCTTGTAGGAAAATGCCCTTAAGGACCCTCAGGACCCGGGCCTCGTCTCCCCTAACCCACCTTCCCTTGTAGGAAAATGCCCTTAAGGACCCTCAGGACCCGGGCCTCCTCTCCCCTAACCCGTCTTCCCTTGCAGGAAAATGCCCTTAAGGACCCTCAGGACCCGGGTCTCCTCTCCCCTAACCCACCTTCCCTTGTAGGAAAGTGCCCTTAAGGACCCTCAGGACCCGGGCCTCCTCTCCCCTAACCCACCTTCCCTTGCAGGAAAATGCCCTTAAGGACCCTCAGGACCGGGGCCTCCTCTCCCCTAACCCACCTTCCCTTGTAGGAAAATGTCCTTAAGGACCCTCAGGACCCGGGCCTCCTCTCCCCTAACCCGTCTTCCCTTGTAGGAAAATGCCCTTAAGGACCCTCAGGACCCGGGCCTCCTCTCCCCTAACCCGTCTTCCCTTGTAGGAAAATGTCCTTAAGGACCCTCAGGACCGGGGCCTCCTCTCCCCTAACCCACCTTCCCTTGTAGGAAAGTGTCCTTAAGGACCCTCAGGACCCGGGCCTCCTCTCCCCTAACCCACCTTCCCTTGTAGGAAAATGCCCTTAAGGACCCTCAGGACCCGGGCCTCCTCTCCCCTAACCCACCTTCCCTTGTAGGAAAATGCCCTTAAGGACCCTCAGGACCCGGCCTCCTCTCCCCTAACCCACCTTCCCTTGCAGGAAAATGCCCTTAAGGACCCTCAGGACCCGGGTCTCCTCTCCCCTAACCCACCTTCCCTTGTAGGAAAATGTCCTTAAGGACCCTCAGGACCCGGGCCTCCTCTCCCCTAACCCACCTTCCCTTGCCAGGGTGACCCCGCCAGAACCAGGTGAGCCGCTGCCCACACAGGGACCCGCGGCCAACAGGCCAACGTCCTGGGGAAGCGCTTCTTACCCTGCTGCCTGGGACGGGAGAACGCAGGAGAGGCTGGAGAACACCCGGGAAAGGCCTGGAGAACACCCGGGAAAGGCTGCAGAACGCCGGGGAGAGGCCTGGAGAACGCCCGGGAAAGGCTGCAGAACGCCGGGGAGAGGCCTGGAGAACGCCCGGGAGGCTGAAGAACACCCGGGAGGCTGTAGAACGCCGGAGAGGCCTGGAGAACGCCCGGGAGAGGCCTGGTGAACACCCGAGAGGCTGGAGAATGCCCTGGAGGCCTGGAGAACGCCCGGGAAAGGCTGCAGAACGCCGGGGAGAGGCCTGGAGAACGCCCGGGAGGCTGAAGAACACCCGGGAGGCTGTAGAACGCCGGAGAGGCCTGGAGAACGCCCGGGAGAGGCCTGGAGAACACCCGGGAGGCTGGAGAAGGCCCGGGAGAGGCTGGAGAACGCCTGGGAGGCCTGACAGAACCGTGCCTCAGGCCGTGGCGCTCGGCCCCCTGCAGACTCCGGCTGAACCTGCCCCTCCCCGTTGTTTTTCTCTGACCAACCTCTGCGCATGCGCGGTTCTGCGCCCGGGGCTGGGCTGTTCCTCGCCAGCAATGAGCAGAGAGTGGGGAGTGCTCGCCCTTTCCACCCCACAGGCTTCGGCAGCTTTTGGTCCCAGAGATAATATCCGAAGGATAGAGAAGGAGAGGAACGCGGAGAGAGAGCTTGGAGGTAAAAAAACTGCGCTTTTAACTTTGGTTGGGTCGGGCCTCTGAGGCGCGTGCTCAGGTTCCCCTCAGCCCTGCCCGTCCGCGCCTTCAGGAGATTTTTAAAGAGACAGGACAATGGGGCCGGTTTTACTCACGATTTTAACTTTCTTTCTCTGGCTGTACCCCTCTTCTGGCCGTACCCCTTTTGGGTGTACCCCTCTCCTGGCTGGCTCGCCAAATGTAATATTGGGGTTTTGGGGTTCAGGGTGCCCTTGGCTTCCTTGAGAGGACGTTTCTCCAGGTGCTTGGTCTCCTGCCCTCTTAAGAATGAGAGGAGACCAGGGCGCAGTAAATGTCGGACTTAGGAAGTGTTGGATAAAGGGATTTTATTTAGGTAGAGAGAGACACAGCTGACTCTCACACCGAGTGAGAGAATCCAGAAAGATGGAACCCAGGACAGGAAAGCAGCTTCCACACTGAGTGGAAGGGAATAGAGAGATGGAGTTTAGGGGGGAAGACAGGCTTCCACGAGAGAGTGTGGAAGGGGGACTCCAGAGGGGAAATCCAGGAGAGGGAAAGACGGCTTCCACCAAGGGGGTGTTCCTGGGAGGGACCCAAACATGGAGGCCGAAGGGGTGTGGAAGAAGGGGGCTTCTAACCTGGGAGGAACCCCGCCTTCTCCAAGACCCCAGGCCAATGAAAGGAGTTCCTCAGAACTTCCGCTGGAGTGACTGACTCTTAGTTTCTTCCCTAGACCGTAAAATTCAAATATAAACCATTAAATCTCCCGGTTGGAGAGAGGTGGGAGGGGCACGGTGCTGGGAAGTTCTTGGCCTTGAAACTACGCCCCCTTCTGGACTTGGAAAGAGAACAGCTTCGCCCCGGGAGGGCAGCTCCAGGCCTCAGTGCAGGTGCCAGTGCTTGCGAGGCTGTGCTGGATCAGGGGTGCTGCAGGTGGCTTCCATTGTGCGCACGTGGTGAGCCCAGAAGCTCAGAGATGCCTGGAACTGCAGAGCCCCAAAGTGTCACAGCCCTGGCTTGGGGAGCCCCTAGGTCTGGGGTCCTGGAAGGGCCGCTGCTCTTCACTTTATCACTCACAACAGGGCAAGCGGGGACTGTATTTCAGCCCTGTGTACTTCAGCCCTGTTTGTGTTACAGCTCTTTTTCACCCGCCGGGTCGTCCCAAGTACTTGCCCCACATCCACGAAGAATGAGGTATGTGGGCACCTGAAGGGCGAGCAAGGCAGAGAAGCTGCATGGAGGGACAGAACAACTCTGAGGAGACCTGAAGAGGATGACTCCTTTCCATAGGCAGGATGTCCTGATGAGTCAAGGACACCCAAAGCGGGTAACTCCTTCCTGCAGCTGGTAGTCCCAATGTCTGTGTGAGTCTCGCTGAGGCTGGGGTTAGGGCTCAGAAGGAAGTGCATGCTAATTGGTCCATGGGTGGCCATGGGCAGGCCCAGGAAAATCACCACAAGTTCTCTCTCTGGGCCACAGGCTCCATCAGGAACTGGCGTCTTAGCCTCCAGGCTTCAGGCCATCCCATACTTGAAGGTGGAATGTCTTCAGGTCCCTACTCCTTTCTGCCCATGAAAGTGTCTGCCTCCCACCATCAACATGCTGTCCATGGTACCCAGGCTGTTTGTGCCAGGTGGGGGGTGCTGCAGGCTCACATCAAACTGCCCTCAGCATCCCTCCAACACTCATTGGTGCCCAAATTCCAGAGGGGGCTGAGGCGCCAGGGTGCTTGTGTGTCAGTACCTCCTTGAGCATGCACACACCTGGCTGGGTAGCAGTAGCGCCTGGGCTTGGCCATAACTTTGCTCCACACCAGAACAAGCACTGGGATCGGGGAGAAGCCAGAAAGAGGGAGCAGGCAATTCTAAGCCTGTAGGAGTAGGAGGTTCCCAGGCCCCTGAGAAGATAGGGATGCTTGGTCCAGAGCCAGAGCTGGGTGGCTGCAGCTACGCCCAGGAGCATGAGGCTTCCACCCTGCCAACTTGGTTTTGGGGAAAGGCCTCCTGCTCTTCCAGGACCCCACCAGCCTTGCAGAATTTGCAACCCCAGCTGTGCCTCCCCCACTCAGCCAGTCTTTGCAGCACCCACCCCAGACAGGTGGGCACTGCCATCTCTGGTAGGTCACGTTTAATCCGAGTATATTCCATAAGCCTTTCTTGTACAGCATTTCCTTCCCTTTGGGAGATGAGATAATTCTTACTTGAAAAGTCTGTAATGACTTCATTTTGGCAGTTCTTTGCAAGAGAATATTGAGGCAGTATTTTGCAAGGGAATGCCAATTGAATTAGGAAATACTGGCTCTCTTTGCCTCTATACTTAGGGCCAGAACAAGATTCCAGTGGAATGTAAAATATTTAATAAAAAGCTTAACCTAGAAAAATATATTATATATACTGTAAGAATGTTGATATTTTGTAAACCAAGCCTATAAATGAGATGCACTATTTGAACTTAGGATTTCATTCCAAATGTAGGGTAGTTCTAGGTATCTGAAGAACTTGTAACTTCAGTTACTTTCTGTAACTGAAGAACTTGACAAGTGCCATGGGAGAAACTGAGTCTCCACAAGGGGACAAGATTGTAGGCTCTGTAACATTTACTGTGTTGTAAGTTCTCTTGACTCTATTTCTGTGCTCTTTCAGTATTCTGGAAAGCAGCATGGTATCTCTATTGCAAAGAAAACAATGCTTTTAATTGTCTGGAAGTGTATGTGTGTGTGAGAGAGAGTATGTGAAGGTGCATTTGTGTGTGTTTAACCTGATAAATTGCATCTACTGCAGAGAAATAGATAGGCATTTTCCTCTACCTACATGTCTCCATGTCTGAACCATGAGATTGTCGTCTTACTTATCTGTACTTAATAAAGGAAGGAAGGCTGTATGCTTGTGGTGGGTTTGTGTGTGTGTGTAGGAGTTTAAAACACATCAGAATTTTAGCAGCCTCCATTTTTCCTATCTATGCCAAATACTCCAGACCTTAACCAATTCTTAAATTTCTTCTAAATATTAACCACACCAGAACTCCCATATATATGATTCCTTTTAATCACTTCATATAGAGAAATTCTGCTCATGAAAAATAAAAAACTATACTCATTTTCTACAATGTTTTTTCCTATGTTTTTCTAGTTTCAGTTCTATCTTTTCTTTAGGTCTCAATAACACTCTGACATTACCTTTCTAGATATTCTATTATACTTTTATAAGTGCAATCCATTCCCTCAACCTCCCTTTGCTCTGATCCCTTATATAATTCGACTCACCTATGGGTTAAAAACCCTTTTTCTGGATGGTTATGAGATGTAAATAATTGGCATCTGTTGTATGTACTATATGTTTTTTTACCTTATAGAGATATAAATAAAAAATAATTAAAATAACCAAGTCATTTACTTTGATCTAAACAAAAATAAATCAATTAAGACTTGTGACTTAATCCTTTTAATTTTTCATTAATATTTCATAGTTTAGGACAAAGAAGAAAAATATTTTATTATTCTTTCACAAAATCAATCCCAACAGAGAAGGTGTATACTAAGCTTTGATATTGTAGAGTCATACAATGTTTTAGGGATAAAGTTTTGAATGTTGAAAATTGAAAAATTGATATACAGTGACCTATCATTGAAAAATTGATATACAGTGACCTCATTATATTTTATTGACTAACTATATATTATTGACTATTATATATGTAACCCTGAATATGTTAGAAGCTGAAATTTTAAAACACTTACTTGGTTTTAAAAACTCCCCTCTTTTAAAAGTCATGAAAATTATATCCAATATTTATTGGAGACTTAATTTCTACATATTTTATTAACTCAGCCCTATTTCTTTTAACTCTACAGTATTTCTTATCATGGTGATTTCAAATAGTATATAAACTTATTGTTTTATGGGTATGAAACCAAGTAAAGATATAGATCACATTAATTTTTTAATTAGAAAGATAAAAAGCACATGTGGCAGGCAGTGGTAGCCAAAAGCAAGAAACTAGAACATGACATAATAAGCAGTGAAAATCCCACTTGCTTATGATTTCTGATGTTTTTCCTGTCAGTAGTGGCATAGCAAATTAAATAATTTGGAAAGGATTATTTTTGTGTATGCTACACAAAAATATAGCTGTGTATACAGCTGTATTGCTCTGCTGTATGTCAAATATATTCATTAAAACTTCTATTTCAATAATTTTCTAGGTACATAAAAGTTTATTAAATGCCTTATAAGTGGTAATGTATAAATACCTTAAGTCTGTTAGAATTTTTTAAAACAATATATTAGCATACTTTAAAAATTGTCAAATGTTAAGAGTAATTTGATTATGATATTAAAATATTTTAAAATAATATCATAGGTGACATGAAAAGCATTTGGTGAGATTAGAGTTCAGGAAACATTTCCTCAGCATCTTAATAGCTGCTAATGTGAGCCATGTTTTTTACTAAGAAGAAATAATATTGTCCAGTTTCATATGAAGTTTCTATCTATAATAACTATCTCTGGACACATGAATCATGAAAGGTAAAAACAGTAGAACATATGGTGGCTTCTGTGTATTTTCTCCAGAGAGCTCATCCTGAAGTTTTTTCAGAATTTGTCTTAGATTTGACAGAATTTACTCATCTAGTTTTCCTAAAGAAGAGAAAATAGGCCAGGCGCGGTGGCTCACGCCTGTAATCCCAGCACTTTGGGAGGCCGAGGCGGGTGGATCACGAGGTCAAGAGATCGAGACCATCCTGGTCAACATGGTGAAACCTCGTCTCTACTAAAAAAAATACAAAAAATTAGCTGGGCATGGTGGCGCGCACCTGTAATCCCAGCTACTCAGGAGGCCGAGGTGGGAGAATTGCCTGAACCCAGGAGGCGGAGGTTGCGGTGAGCCGAGATTGCGCCATTGTACTCCAGCCTGGGTAACAAGAGCGAAACTCCGTCTCAAAAAAAAAAAAAGAAGAGAAAATAATCAGTGTTTTTTTAAGAAGAAAACTACAAAGGTAAATTTTATTATATACACTTTAAGAATATCAACATGTTTGTATAGCTCTTTATAGGTTGCCAAGAAATACACATACATTGTCTCAACCTTTGATGCAATCATAGGCTATGGTAGAATTAAACAGTAGTAAACACAGTTTTGGCACTAGGCGTTGACTTAGCTCTAGGTAACATGAAGATTGATGACCAAATATGGTATGAACAAGTCACAGTCCTCTTCATTGAGTTCAGAGTGTCTCAGATATTCAGGACAAGAAAAAAAAATCTAATTTTAATAAACTACATAGGTGTATAATACTTTTAACAATATCACTGGGGCCTTCTTATGTTCCTGGCAGTAACCGAAGTCTAGTGTGATCACTATTTCAGTCATCAGAATGCATTAGGAGGTGGGCTCTAATGTCATCCAACACACAGCTGAAAATGAAGAAATTAAATTATCTGCTAATTAGTAATCTAATAGAGTGCAAAGGTTAGGTCCAAACGAATACTCTGACAAAACAGTTTAAGACTCTATGGTAGGCCAGGCACGGTGGCTCATGCCTGTAATCCCAGCACTTTGGGAGGCCGAGGTGGGTGGATCATGAGGTCAAGAGATCGAGACCATCCTGGTCAACATGGTGAAACCCCATCTCTACTAAAAATACAAAAATTAGCTGGGCATGGTGGCATGCGCCTGTAGTCCCAGCTACTCAGGCTGAGGTAGGAGAATTGCTTGAATCCG